TCTGTGGTAATTAGGGAGTTAACCTGTGGTAATTAGGGAGTTAACCTGTGGTAATTAGGGAGTTAACTGTGTGACTGGTGTTGACGGATTTATATGTTTTCGTTATTTTTTTGTTTGTTGTTTCTTGCTTTGTTGACACACACACACACACACATACACACACACACTTCCTCCTGTGTGTGTGTGTGTGTGTTTAGTACATTTCTATTAACATTAAATAACATACACGTATTAAAAATTTATTAACCTCCTGTAAATGAAACCCCCCAAGCTTCACCTATCCTCAACAACCTTTATACGTGAAGCCTCGTCCCTCACCTATCCAGTGGGGCAAGTAAACCTATCCACAGTATCCAGCCTCGACAAATTTGATGGCCTCTGTTTTGACAGGTGAGATTCAGTGTCTCCTTGACGTCCAGGTATCCACTCACCGTGACAGAATTCCAGTCATCCGGGTTATTAGTTCAGACTGGGTGGGAGTCGCTAATCGCTGGAACCGGACCCGAAAGTTAAACCAAAGCCGTGGTCGTGTATAGAGTTGGGACGACTCGTAATTTGACGCAATTTTGTCACCAATGAGTGGGTGGTTGTGGGCGGGACAAGGGGAGCCGAGTGTGACGTGGGGGGTGTGTTGATTTATGTACTAAACATGACACGTACGAACAGAAAATGCGAATAATTTATATAAGTGAAACGCCAGAATGTATATAGATGATATAAACAAACAAAATATATACTAGTATCAGGTGTGAACGTTTCGGACGAGCTGACAGAGTGAAGTCATCGAGATGGGAAATGATAAAAAAAAAGGGTTATTCTTTTACGAGAGAAAAAATAAATTTCGCATCTGTGACGTTAAAACAAATCAATCTAATGTATCACTGGACTTTTGTTAAAGATATACGCACACACACACACACATACACACACACACACACATACACACACACACACACACACTCTCTCTCTCTCTCTCTCTCTCTCTCTCTCTCTCTCTCTCTCTCTCTCTCTCTCTCTCGGGATATTGTTGCAGTTCTCTAATGTTGTAGATGTAAAGATGTTTTATGATATTTTCAGTTCAATGTTATCTACGTATGTATTGTAGTCTTGTTTCCTAATGCACCTGTAATATTTTCACTTAAATATTATGTGTATTGTGTTTCCAAATGTATTATATTATTTCCAGTTAGGTATTATGTACGTGAATATAATAATAGTGTTATCAGAATCATACCTAGTGCCGTTCTCCACCAATCACAGCCTCAGAATAATCCCTAGTGCCGTTCTCCACCAATCACAGCCTCAGAATAATCCCTAGTGCCGTTCTCCACCAATCGCAGCCTCGGGATAATCCCCAGTGTTGTTCTCCACCAATCGTTGCCTCGGAATAATCCGTTTTGCCGTTCCCCACCAATCACTGCCTCGGAATAATCACTAGTGTCGCTCTCCACCAATCACCTCCTCACAATAATCCCATGTGTCGTTCTCTACCAATCACTGCCTCAGAATAATCCCTAGTGCCGGTTTCCACCAATCACTGTCCCACAGTAATACCTGGTTCATTTCTCCACCAATCACCACCGTGAAATAATATACTTAGTGCAGTTTTCCACGAATCACCGCCTCAGAATCATACCTGATTGATATCTCCACCAACCATCACCTCAGAATAAAACCTAGTGCAGTCTTCCCACCAATCACCGCCTCAGAATCGTGTACCTGGTGCAGCTGTCCAATTAAATTTTGCGCGTCAGGATATTTGTTTACACGAGTGACGGTGAACAAGATGGGTGTCTCTGAGAGGTCACCATCCCACCTTCATCATCTCACGTTTTGCCACTGTGAACACCCAGGTGGCTCTTGTTAACCGGCCCTGTAAAAGTACGCTAATTACAGCCTCCGGATTAGCGAATTAAGCAGGAGGCTGAGCCCGCTGGTATTATGACCCAGTGTTGAAGCGCCTGATGATAGTTTTACTGCCGGGTGACCAATTAGCTGTAATGGTGCTTTGTGTTGGCTGTTGGGTTGCTGTTGTCGTGTCTGATGGACCAGCGTTTAGTGTGTGTGTGTCAGGCTTATGTAAGGCTTATACTGTATAATATTGTTGAAGTATCGTCAATCTATTGAATACCAAGTACAATACGTCTGACTGTTGTAAATGGCTTTTGTTTATTACGAATATGTATGGTTTTTGTGTGTCCAAAACAACAGAAATAAGGTTATACTGTATTGTATGCGCGCTAATCTTCAGGTAATCCGACGGACTATATCTAGGAGTAATAAAGATGGCTAATAACTCTTCATATCGCTAGTTCAAATGTCAAGGCCACTGTTGCTAGTTATGAGAATTTTGTGTGTGTTAAATCTCACCTTTTCAGGTATTTGATGAGAATTTATTTATAACTTTTGTTGTTGTTGTAACGCGGGTCACTATTGGTGTACATCACAACGGGGCAAGATCAATATCGCTCCAGTTTGATATAGGATCCTTCCTCTCTGTCCAATAACTCTGTTTACCTTTGAATTTCCCCTGAAACTTTTTATCTATATTGTATAAAATAGTTTTTGATATACGAGACGTCCTCTTGCCGGTCGCTCTTAACAACAAGTTCAAGGTTACGGTCGGTGTTAGCAAGAATAACATCCTTGTTCCCGTGTTATATCTAACGTTGTTATATGATGTGGGGGGCAGAGGCGTGGGGTAGGGAGGGACATGGCTTAGGGGAGGGTTAGGACATGGTAAGGGAGGGGGGGGGGAGTATTACACATGTTCAACACTGATCCAGTTAGGTAAGGGCGCGACGCTTTGACAAAATATTTTCCACGCGTACCTGTCGTAAATCAGAGGGTGAAAAGGACAATGTGAAGGCCGCATCTCTCCTTATAGAATCGTGTTGGTTGTATTCAGAGACACGAGGGATGATAAACACGACCGCATTACACCTGAGTTGGAGAGATACACTTGGGTTAATCATTCTCTTTGTATACTAGATAGATTATTATGTAACGGGTATATTTACTGGGGTTTGTAGGAGCTATATACCTGAAAGTTGATGTAATCGGCTCCTAAAAAATTAACGGAAAGATATAGAACGTATCTGAAATTTCGATTATCATAAAACCTACAGGAAATTGTGGCAGTATCAAGCTTATGTGCGTACACAGACTAAGGCCGAGAGCTTACACACTGCTTTTAAAATACATACATACATACATACATACATACATACAGTTATATATAAAATTTTAATAGTGTTTGCTCGTACCAAGACCTGAGCACGGCATTATACTCTCGTTTACATAAGGTTGATATGTTATAACGTGTCTAGAACAATACACAAACTTAATGATAAATAAACACACGAGTGAGACAGGCAGCCATATCAGCTGACCCGATGTTTTTTTATGTCTTATTTCGTGTCGTTAGTTATTAGAGCATACGGTGATGGTGTCTCCCTTTGTCCACCTGTCCGCCTGTCTGTCTGTTCGGGGAAGATTGTCAACACGATAACTTCAGTAAATGTGAACGAATTTCGACAATGGATGAAACCCAACATGGTCTTGAGTGATGTACGATAACTGGTATTTTTCTTCAGTATTTTGAGGTGTTATGGGGTTTTTTTTTAATGGGGGGAGGGTTGGTCTCTGTAGGTGACTTGGGACCCTGAAACCCTGTCTGTGGTCGTTGTAGCCTCTCACACACACATATACAGTGGTTTCTCTGGTTGGTGATGGATGTTGTTGTTTGTATTGTCTGGGTGAGTCCATCCACTTACCAAGATGGGTCGAGGTGAGAGGGAGGGAACGACACACCTGGAAGACCTACACACACACACACACACACTCTCTCTCTCTCTCTCTCTCTCTCTCTCTCTCTCTCTCTCTCTCTCTGTTTGTCTATCTATCCTTCCTTCCCTTCACAATTTTTACCTTTCATCGCGCCTTTCCCTCCTCCTCCTCCTCCTTCTTTCACACATCTTCTTTAGCCCTCTCCTCCCTGTTCCTCTTCTCCCTCCCCTCTCCTCCACTCCCCCTCCCTTCCTCATCCTTCCATTCCCCTCCATTCTTCTCCCCCTACTTTCTTCATCCTCTCCTCCCCTTTCCCCTTCCCTTCTTCATCCTCCTCCCCTTCCTTTTGCCTCTTCCTCTGCCCTCCTCTTCCTTCCCTTCCCTTCTCCTTCTCTTCCCAGGTCTTGAACACCCACCGTGGATCGCCGTCGCCGCTTGAGCCCGGGGCTTTTGGACCAAGATTAATGCTCATTCAATTTGTTAGTGGGGGAGAGGCGCGGTGACTGTGCGGGGTGGGGAGAGGCGCAGTGGGGTGGGAGAGGCGCGGTGACTCCTGTGGGGGGTGGGAGAGGCGCAGTGACTGTGGGGGGTGGGGAGAGGCGTGGTGACTGGGGGGGTGGGGAGAGGCGCGGTGACTGTGGGGGAGAGGCGGGTGACTGTGGGTGGGTGAGGCAAGTGGTGACTGTGGGGGGGTGGGGAGAGGCGCGGTGACTGTGGGGGGTGGGGAGAGGCGCGGTGACTGTGGGGGGTGGGGGAGAGGCGCGGTGACTGTAGGGGGTAGAGAGGCCATAGTTAACCTCCCAGGATCACAGGTCACCTCCCAGGGTCACAGGTCACCTCCCATGATCAAAGTGCCAGCTATGGTCATCTCGTTATGTAAAAATGTGACGTCTTGCCCAAGTTATTGAACCAAGAGAATAAATATATTGTTTGGATCACCTGATGGCTTGTTCCTATGCTTATTTCACCTAACCTAACACTGAACTACGCTCTCCTAACTTAACACTAACATTAACTCAACGCTAACCTAACTATGGTAACATTTTTTTTTTTTGCGTTAGGGGCCGTAGTAACGAGGTTTGTATGGTAAGGTCTATAGTAACGAGGGTACAGATGATAAGATGATAACTCTTGTATGTTTACGTTTGTCAATTTATTACTTTCACTTGATAACGAAAAAAATAACTAATAAATCTCTCTCTCTTTCACAGTTTAGACAGAAAGTCGAATTATCACTGCTGAGCGACTTGGCACCGCTGACAGTTGAATACGCCAGTCAACACTAAGACGATAACACCATTAACCAATCACCATCAAGGTCGTCCACCATCAGCTAATCAGTGTCGAGTTAATACACCGCCAGCCAATCAGTGCCAAGGCCCCAAGTAAGTGTAGTGAGCACTGAAGCTTCTTGTTATTGTTTTGTTCTTTCTAACGTTGAATTTTTTCGTTATGTTGGAATTTACGTTTATTTTGACGTTTGTGTGTGTGTGTGTTAGTGTGTTAGTTATGTTGTTGTTGAACCGTAGCGTTTATCATTATTATTGACGTTGTACCCCCTAAGACCTCACTAAATCTCACTTATGTTCAACTAACCTACCTTATAACTTAACATGACCTGAGCTAACCTAACCCACCCCTGATTCAACGTAACTCCTAATAGTATAACGTAATCTAACCTAACCCTAATATTACGTAACCTAACCTACAATGTGATAGTGTTGCGGGTACTTGGTTTTGTGGTTGCCAGGGGGAAGGTTGTCGCCATTGTTTGGACGCGGCAACATGTTGTAACACCGAGGCAGGGAAAAAAGACGCAGTATTTTTCGCCCCCAAAGTTTACGTTAATTATCCAAGTTATGAAGATCATTCATTCTTGTTAACCACACGTGTTCAGGACCATCTTCCATCCCGACTATGCCGTACCTCCCTCATTCATTCCCTCCCATCATCCCTCTCTCCCTCCCTCCCTCCCTCCTCCCTTCACTATCCTTCCCTCCCTCCCACTACCCTTCACTCCCTCCCATTAAACCCCCATTACTTATTTCCTCCCAAGGATCACACGTAGTATTGGGCTTTGCTCCACCACACTTTGTTTCCTTCCCTCCATCCACAATCTCTCGTTCTCTCCATTCCATTCCCTCCTTCCCAACTTAGCAGCCCGTATGAAATCCTTCTCCATCCTTCTAACCACACGTCTAAGACAACCCCCCCCCCTCCTCCTTCTCCATCCCACTATTCATTCCTCCATCCCTCCCTGACCACACTAGAGAGCATCCATCCACCACCACCCCTTCCCCTCTCCCTTCCCTTTCTTTTCCCAGCACAGTGATAGGTGGTTGCCATAAATCAAAGCTGACCCCCCTCCCTCCCTACCCCCTCACGTTTGTTTTTTTTTTGTTGGGGGGGGGGATTACTGGGCCACCAAGATGCGACAACAATTTGGGACCACCACCACTGAAACGCTACAGCTTGGGACCACCAATGAAACGCCACAGCTTGGGACCACCAATGAAACGCTACAGCTTGAGACCACCAATGAAACGCTACAGCTTGGGACCACCAATGAAACGCCACAGCTTGGGACCACCAATGAAACGCTACAGCTTGAGACCACCAATGAAACGCTACAGCTTGGGACCATCACTGAGACGCTGCATCTTGGAACCACCAATTTGGGACCACCACCACTGAGGCACTACAGCTTGAGACCACCAATTTGGGACCACCAGGGACTCTACAATTAGGGAAGTTGTTTACGTGAACCTACCTATGGGATATCATTAGACCAGACTTCCTATTTTTTGTGTTAAAAAGTTCCCAGTGAACTGAGAAGAGTTTTACGCTCACAGCTGGCACACACCACCTGCCCCTACACCACCTTCCCCTACACCACCTGCCCCTATACCACCTTCCCCTACACCACCTGCCCCTACACCACCTGCTTCACTGATCACCATTTTTTTATAATACTGTTTTTATATACGAAGAAAGGGGCAATATTTTTTTTTTACCTGTGTGATAATTGCCCTCACTTTTTTGTCATCAAGAAAAAATTTCCTTTTACAGGTGATGATTTTTTAGGGTCCAATTATTTTCTCTCTTTTTTTTCTCTCTAATGAGGGGGTGATTTTTGTTGTTATTTTGTTTGTCTCAGGTTGATTACTGAACCGAGTTGTTATCACCAGTCAAGCGCCGTTGTTGTTATCTTCCTTGTTATTGTTCGTGTCGTTAATTACTAACTGTGTGTTTGATCACCTGTGACCTGGATCACCTGTGACCTGGATCAACTGTGGAAATGAATCAACTATGACGTGGATTACATTTGTCATGGATCAACTACGCCATGGATCAACTACGTCATGGATCAACTACGTCATGGATCAACTACGTCATGAATCAACTACGTCATGGATCAACTACGTCATGGATCAACTACGTCATGGATCAACTACGTCATGGATCAACTACGTCATGGATCAGCTGGATGGTGGATTATATATCAGACACAACTAATTATTTTTTCCCCCACTCTCCGATAATCGTGGAGGATCCTTACACAGGGTTATAGAGGCGTGGACCAGGTGTACAGATGGCGACTTAAACCGATTATCGAGAGTAATTATATCCGGGTGGTGATAACTTTTCCCCGTCGGCCGCTAATGTACAGTGAGGGCGGGATTTTCACCACCTTTGCTTTGCCCTGTGTGTGGGGGGTGGGTGTGTGAAGGTGGTGTGTGTGGGGGGGTGGGTGTGTGAGGGGAGTGGGTGTGTGAGGGGAGTGGGTGTGTTGGATGTGGGGGGAGAGGGTGTGTGTGGAGGGAGTAGGTGTTGGGGTTGAGTGGGGTGTGGGGGAAGTGGGTGTGTGAGGGTGGTGTGTGGGCGTGTATGTGTGTGTGTGTGAGTGAGTGAGTGTTCGTGTGTACATACGTCCGTCCATCTGTCCGCAGTCTGTACTTTATATTTTCTTGGATCACCTGAAGTATCGCCACTCCAGCTTATTTCACCTAATGATTAAACACCGTAACCCAAGCTTAACCTAACCTAACCCCATCCCTGTAAATAGTGTTAGGGTGGTTGTTCTTTAGGTGAAATAAGCTGGGGTGGCGATACTTCAGGTGATCCAATTATATCCTCCCATGTGATTATGTATTTTTTGAATCCCTTTAATCTCCAATTGTGTCTTTGGGAAGTAGGATCATAATAGGGGGTCCTGTTAAAATGGATAATTTGTGATATATGGATAATTATACACCTGTCCTGTGTCACCTGTCTGCATGATTCCTCTCATATGAAAATTAATATCCTTATCTCTATACTTTGTGAATTGATTTAATCCCCAGATGTGCTTTTCGAAGGTGGAATTTGTAGTTGTTTTGTTGTTGTTTTGTTTTCCGGGATTTTCTGCCAAGACGACGTGACGTGTCAGTTAAACAAAAACGAAACACGTTTAAAACCCGTATTAAATTAGTTTTTTTTTCCTTTTGTTTCCATGACTGATGAACTTGAAGATAATTTGATAAAAAAAGTTGGTACAGTTTTATGTCATTACTGGATGATTTGTCGGGAAGCAGCAGCACCAACAGGGCATCAAAGGTCAGAACTCTTGAAAATAAGTCAAATGTCAAATGCAGGTGTGGGTTTTTTTTTTTATCTTAGGACACTTGGGCTGGAGGGTTGTTGTGAGGAAACGTGTCTGTCTGTCTGTTTCTCTCTCTTTGTGTCTGTGTCTGTCTGTCTGTCTCTGTCTGTGTGTGTCTGTCTCTCTTTGTGTCTGTGTCTGTCTGTCTGTCTCTGTCTGTGTGTGTCTGTCTCTCTTTGTGTCTGTGTCTGTCTGTCTGTCTCTGTCTGTGTGTGTCTGTCTCTGTCTGTCTCTGTCTGTGTGTGTCTGTCTCTGTCTGTCCTGTCTGTGTGTGTCTGTCTCTCTTTGTGTCTGTGTCTGTCTGTCTGTCTCTGTCTGTGTGTGTCTGTCTCTCTTTGTGTCTGTCTGTCTGTCTCTTCTTGTGTCTTATGCATCCCCCCAACAAGAGAGGGAAGCATGTGTTACTCTCCCCCGGGGTACACAGAAGAGCTTTACTGAAGGTGGAAGGTGTTGAGGTTCCCCGAAATTTACGTAATTATTTAGTAATCCGCGGCTCGCGTGGTCGTATTTTTCCCGATTATCGACGAAAATTATCAAGTGACATTTTTTTCAGAAGATCGGTGATAATTACGAGTGATACATTTTTTTTACCCCGATTACCCAACGATAATGATCAGGAGTGATGATAATTACCCCCACTTCCCTCCCCACCCTTCCCCGATTATCCGACGATAATTAACCTAGTAGTGAGGTGATAACTGTTGCCGATTATCGCGGATAATTACCCGAGGGAGGGAAGGGGGTGTTCGTTCGGATGAGCTATACTTGTTACCGTGGAGTGGTCGAAGGGGAACAAGAGCGAGGGGCAGGAGGTATAAAAAAAAGTGGGTCAGGAGGATGGAGCTAATTAGTGCTGAGACGTGAAGGACCATTGACAGTGACTTCATTAATCCCCGCCCTCACTGAAAGACGTAGTGAACCTCTGCCGGGCACTGTCTGGGCTGAGAGAGAGAGAGAGAGAGAGAGAGAGAGAGAAGGGAGAAAGATGTGGAGGTCTGAGAGGAAAGAGAAAGCAGTGAAGGAAATTAGAAAGAAAGAAAGAGAGAAATAATGATGATGATTGTGAGAGACGAGAGAGGTTAAACAGCCTCTCCATCTCCCTCTCGTCTTGTTCTTCCTCCTCCTCCTCATCCTCCTCTTCTTCCTCATGCTCCTCCTCCTCCTCTTCTTCCTCATGCTCCTCCTCCTCTCCTCTTCTTCCTCATGCCTCCTCCTCCTCCTCTTCCTCCTAATCCTCTCTTCTTCCTCCTCCTTCCTTCTTTCTTCTTCCTCCTCTTCTTCCTCCTCCTCCTCTTCTTCATCTTCTTCTTCTTCCTCCTCCTCCTCCTCCTCCTCCTCCTCCTTCCTCCTCCTCCTCCTCCTCCTCCTCCTCCTCTTCTTCCTCATCTTCTTCCTCCTCCTCCTCCTCCTCTTCCTCGTCTTCCTCCCTCCTCCTCCTCCCTTCCATAGGGGAGAGACTCTGGGACTATCTTTCTGTATCGACACAACCACCTTCACTTAATGTCGTTCTGCCGGCATTGCCCCCCTCCCTCCCTCCTCCCTTCCATCTCCTTCCTCCCACCCCCCTCTCTCTCACACTCCTCCCATCTCCACCGACACTCCTCTTCCTTCTCCCATCTCCGTCATTTCTCTCCTCCCCTCCCACCTTCGTACTCCCACCTCTCCCTACTCCTTCCTTCCTCTACTCCCTCTCTCCCTCCCATACCCCACACAAGAAGAAGGTAGGGATTGGTATTCAGGCTG